AGCGAGCGCTTGCGAGGCTGCCCCTTCGCCCCGCTCCGTCTCCGCCACTCGCGGCTCTGTCGCTGCTCCAGGCGGCAGCGCCTCGCTTCCTTGGAGCTCGGAGGCTGCGAGACGACGCCGTAGAGACGCCCTCTGCGCTCGCACTCGCCGCGTAACTTGCCCATTGGGGCTAAACTGAGGCAACGTTTGCGAATAAAATAACCAACGTTAATTATCACGAAATTATCACGAGTTTTGTGGAGAAAATAAATATTTACTGTAGCGAAGAACCCAGTTTAATACTCTTAGATTCTTTCGGTAAAGTCACGTAGGTAGAAATAAAACAGATCACGACGTTTCGATCGCAACACAAGCGATCTTCATCAGATGGGACAACCACAGCAAGAAAATGCTGAAGTAATTTCTTCAGAACGAGAACTTAACAATTTGGCCTCCGGAATGAAAACCCCCGTCATAGAGGATGTGGGTTAGCCGGTTAAACCCGTTTATGAACAAATAAACACTGCGATTTGCAGCTCGGAGGGTGAAAGTGGAAGAGGTGGCAGTAGCTCAGCCCGTGACGCTAGCGGGCACACTGAGCGAGGTCACTCCGCGAAACGTCTCAGGCACAGAGCCGCTGCTACTGCTGCTGCACGGCGACTCTCTACGGCCATACACTATACACTGCACTGTACACTACAACACTATTATTCAAGTGTGGCGTGCTGGCCACCCCCTCCCTCGCATGCCACACTTGCCGGCTTTCCAGGGCGCTACTGCGACTCGCTCCTACTGACAGTACTTGCCCCTACAACCCTGCCATAGGCTACATGGGGGGGGGGGGAGCTTTGTCTTTGGAGTTGGTCACAATCCCCCCCCCCCATTACACCCCCCCTCATGACGTCACCGCCAGGTAGCTCACCGTCATCTGTTTGAGGAATGCGGTGATGTCATTCCTAGTCACACAGTGCCAAAGCTTCCCCCCCCGCCCCCCCCCCCCCGTGTGGCCTTAAACTGACACATAAGCAAATGTTTTTTATTATTACTTTGGTTAGATCGTGTAAATATATACACTCACATCTGCTGCTGTCACTTCTCCTAACGCTAAAACATCAACAAGATGCACCAACTCTTCTCTTTTAGCCCCCCCCTAACACGTTCCACTCATTGGCTTCCACATTTAGATAACCCCCTCCCCCTTCCCTCCCCCCTTAAACTTGTATTTAAGAGCGTGACTCTTTGAATTTTGCCTCACTTGAGACAGTAAATCTGGCTGTGACGGTCCCACCTGATGACGGAGACTTGTGTTGCCTCTGAAACGTCGTGATTTATTATTTTATTTCTATTATTATTTCAATTCAATTTGTATTATTATTTATTTTTTACCTTCGTGACTTTACCGAAAGACCTAAGAGTATGAACCTATTAGCAACATCAGCAAGGACGAGCGTTTTGAACTCTCTAAATTAAAAAAAACAGAGATGACATTGTCATCCTCTCAGCTGACAAGGGCAATGCCACTATCATCATGGATAAAACCACTTACAACAACAAAATCCAGGACCTTCTTATTGATGGCAGCTATACCAAAATCAATAGAGATCCCACCAACCGCCTAGCTACAAAAACCAACAATATCATCCCTAAATCGACTTCTCTAATCGATCAGACCAAGCAGAGTTCCCTAAAACCTTCGGCTGCTAGACCATCCAGATTTTATGGCCTTCCAAAAATCCACAAAGTAGGTACCCCGCTGAGTCCTACTGTCTCCACCATTAACTCACCCACCTACAAACTGGCTCGATTAATGTCTGAGACCCTGCTTCCTTTCACGGGCAAGTGCACCTCAGCTGTACTTAACTCAGCTCACTTGGTTTCTCTAATCAAGGACATCTCACTGACTCCGGATAAGTTGCTTGTCAGTTTTGATGTAGTCTCTCTGTTAACCAATGTACCTGTACTTGACTCCATTGCAATCATTGAAGACTTGGTCCAACAAGGACTGAATCCAGATGTACCATCTTTGGTAAGGCACTGTCTTACCAGCACATTTTTCACCTGGAATGGTACATTCTACAAACAAAATGAGGGTACCCCAATGGGGTCTCCCTTATCGCCAGTGGTAGAGAATGTTTTCATGGACAAATTTGAGACAGATGCCATCCAGACATCCACCCTACGTCCTTCCTTGTGGAAGAGATATGTAGATTACACGTTCGTCATCTGGCCACATGGCCTGCCAGCACTGAACAAATTTCTCAACCACGTCAATTCCATACACCCGTCTATTGAATTCACCATGGAAGTGGAAAAGTATGGCAAGCTACCATTCCTGGATGTTTTGATCGAGAAAAGACCTGATGGTTCGTTGGTACATTCGGTCTACAGGAAAGCCACCCACACGGATGCCTATCTAAAGCCGGACTCTCACCACAATCCAGCCCAGAAGAATTCCCTCATCAAAACACTAAACCTTAGGGCCAGTTGCATCTCCGACCAGCACCACCTAGCTAGTGAGTTGGAGTACGTACACCAAGCCCTCAGGTTGAACAGATACTCAGACCGTACAATCCGCAAAGCTGCCTCCCCAGCCATGGGGAGACAAACTTCTGAGGATCCAACCAAAACCATCACTTTGCCATACATAGCAGTGGTTACCAAAATATTTCCAAAATCTTAAACAAACACAGGATCCAGGCTCGTTTCAACACAGTACACAAAATCCGTGATTTAATCCCATCTGTAAAAGATGTGATTCCGGACATGCAATACCCTGGTGTCTTACAAACTAAGTTGTGGATGTGGCAGCCGTTACATTGGGGAAACGAAATGACATGTCTCGGACCGCGTTCGTGAAGACAAGGCGGATTTGAAACACGGTAGGACCAATACGTCTGCCATTGCTGATCATTGTTTTAATGCTGTGGGCTCACACGAAATTGATTTTTCCAAGATGGAGGTACTCTGCAAACCTACTGGCTACCTTCAGAGATATGTTCATGAAGCCATCCAGATATATAAACACAGACACAACTTCAACCGAGAAGATGGGTACAAACTCAATCATTGGAAGGACGTTATTAACCAGGTAAAGTCTTAGCTGACTGTGATGTTTCCATCCTACCTGCCTATGTCAGCTGTTATTTCCGACTCTTTGTGTCTCTCTCTTTGGATTGCACACTCATGTTCACATCCTTGGATTGCACTCTCATGGTGCTAATCTCTCATTAACACTGCTGTTGTGCACATATGCGGGTATGGTACTCTTATGCGGCGACGGCGACGGAAGCTCATTAATGGTAATCTCTCTCCCTAATCCTCCATTAACACAACTGAGGTGCTTGCTTCCAGGGTGGAATTCCTTTATCGCTCAGACCCCGCTTGCTTGCCCATTGCCACATATGTAGAGGTGTTACGGGAGGGCGAACAAACACACCAGGGGCGGTTATGCCCGCACACGGAAGGGTGCTTACATCCACGTCCGCATCGTTTAGCCTGGGGGGCTGAAACGGCGCTGTGATCCCCCACGGCCCCACCCCTCGGGGGGGGGGAGTTGCTATATAAGGCGGTGAGCCGGTGGGCTCGGGGTTCAGTGTTTAGCTTAAACCAATGAAGAAAGAAGACCGGCTAGATAGGCACTGGGACTCCCCTAGATTGCTGTCCTTCTAAGGACCGACCAGGGCAAGCCAGTGGCGTGGCCCCGAGAGCCCAGAGCCGATGCTCTTGTAAGAGCCGGTCTGAGGACTCAGGGTGCCGTGATCCCAACTTGGCCAGAGCAGGATCAGCTAGCCTCCCCTAGCTCTGTAGTGGAGGACTTGGGAGTAGGCTAGCCAGGATAGAGATCGTGGAATCTCCCTGTTAGATGGGTGAAGGGGCCGATACGTCGTTAAACCCGCCACCACTCGACACAACCAGCTTCATCGCCTGACGAGGCTGGTTGTAATTACCTGTGAAACATCACCGTACTCGAATGGTAAAGGTTATGGGTTTACGCTCCAACATACAACCGGTTAGTGCTGAACCAGTAACGAATTGGCACCACGTTTTGTTTACGTGACACAAACCCTTACTTATTGGCTGGTTTAACGACACATTTATATTTACGCGATCTAACCCAAAACGTCTTATTGGTCGCGAAATCCCGACTTGCACTACTACTGCTTGTTTCATCGAATAACAATTAAACTATTCAACGTTCCGTTTCTCGGTATACAGTATTCATTTTCGGACACACCCAGTACATTACAGTCAATTTAGAGCACCTTCCATGAAGCGTGCCGAGCATGGGGGTCAATGCATGTGAGATCATATTTATGTGCTGAGTTCTGACGTCCGTGGATTTTACATTCCCGAACTGGTCCGACGAGGTTCGTAAGGTAAATATTTCACAGTTGCCTGGGTTAGAATGAGTTAGGTTTTTTTACAATCCTGCCCAGTTGGCTCAACAGATCTAATAAATGAAGTCACATAGATAGACTCATAGAGACACCGATATATGCATAGAGGATGTGTGAAAAGTGGGCTAGTATTTTCCCAATCCTGGCCCAGTTGGATAAAACAACTTAATAAATTAACTAACATAGAGATACATTGGGGCCGTCCATAAATGACGTCACGCACCTGGGGGGGGGGGGTCAGACATTTGTGACGATGTGTAACGAAGGGGGGGGTTGAGAAATGTGACGTCACATCAAAATGCGCAACTTTAAATAAATATAGACAACACGTTCTACTTAATTAAATATACTTTTTAATAAATGTTTTCTCCTACAAGATCAGAGTGCAGCGCCACATTAAATACGCACTACAATGACAATAGTTTAAAGCGATTTGAAGCATGGGGGGGCAGAGCTTTGTGATGCCATATTTGAGGGGGGGGTCTGACTTTTTGTGACGCCGTGTGACGAGGTGGGGGGGGGGAGTCAAAAAACGTATTACGTCATTTATGGACGGCCCCATAGCGATGTCTCGAGATTCAGCGATGTAGAGAGACTCATAGAGATACTTAGCGATACAGAGAGACTCATAGAGATACTTATACTCATAGAGATACTTATACTCATAGAGATACTTAGCGATACAGAGAGACTCATAGAGATACTTAGAGGCTGAAAACTGGGCTGGGTTTCTACCAATTCTCACCCAGCCGGCTCAACGAAACTCAACAAACTAACGCGCAAGTGTTTAGTCTTCTGCTAAAGGTTGCTTAGATGGTGGGGTAGGGTGTAAAGGTGGGAGTGGAGGTGTTTTGGTCGCATAAATCCGCCGCCTCAAAGGACTTTGACTCCCCAGAGCAGAGTTCTGCATTCAGCCGCGAGCCTCGGGGCAGGGATCGTCGCCTGAGCGACTGCGCGTAGCGAGCAGGCGAGGGACTCAGGTGGGTGGCGGCGTTCTTTTACACGTGGAAATGAGACGATTCTATGATAACAGTAACAACAGTAGAGATGCTCAGACACGTACATGTAACGTGGCGTTCTTTTGGTTCCGGCTGAAATCACGGGGCCACGGTTGTATTTTAGTTGACAGCCGAAATAGTTGAACGTTTCAGCTCTGTCCTGTCTACTACCATCGTGCCGTCTGTGACGAGGTGGGACTGTCTGAGTGGTGCACTCTGTGTGTGTACTGCACTCTGTGTGTACTGTACTCTGTGTGTGTACTGCACTCTGTGTGTACTGCACTCTGTGTGTACTGTACTCTGTGTGTGTACTGCACTCTGTGTGTGTACTGCACTCTGTGTGTACTGCACTCTGTGTGTACTGTACTCTGTGTGTACTGTACTCTGTGTGTACTGTACTCTGTGTGTACTGTACTCTGTGTGTACTGCACTCTGTGTGTACTGTACTTTGTGTGTGTACTGCACTCTGTGTGTACTGTACTCTGTGTGTGTACTGCACTCTGTGTGTACTGTACTATGTGTGTACTGTACTCTGTGTGTACTGTAGTCTGTGTGTACTGTACTCTGTGTGTACTGTACTCTGTGTGTACTGTACTATGTGTGTACTGTACTCTGTGTGTGTACTGTACTCTGTGTGTACTGTACTCTGTGTGTGTATTGTACTCTGTGTGTGTACTGTACTCTGTGTGTACTGTACTATGTGTGTACTGTACTCTGTGTGTACTGTAGTCTGTGTGTACTGTAGTCTGTGTGTACTGTACTCTGTGTGTACTGTACTATCTGCGTACTGTACTATCTGCGTACTGTACTATCTGCGTACTGTACTCTGTGTGTGTACTGTACTTTGTGTATACTGTACTCTGTGTACTGACTGTACACTGTATATAATGTGGTGTAGTCTGTCTGTGTGTTGACTGTTTACACTGTAGACTGGTGTATTGTGTGTATGTGTACTGCCCGTGTAGTCTGTGTATAGTGTGTTGTGTACTCTGCGTGTGTTGTGTACTGTGTGTACACTATGTATAATGTGTGATGTATTGTGTGTGTACTGACTGTGTGTACACTGTATACTGTGGTATACTCCGTGTGTGTACTGACTGTGTATACTGTCCAGTGTACTGTTTTGTGTACTGACTGTGTGTACTTTGTGTATACTGTGTGGTGTACTGTGTGTGTGTGCACTGACCGTATGTACAGACTGAGTGTGGTATACTAACAGTATATATTATGTGTGTATTGTTGTTTTGTATTGTGTGTCGATATAATTATCTGACCCACAACTCTTTACGGGACATCTGTAACAAAGTGATTCATAGCTCCATCCGTATTACTCCTTCAGTTCATAAATACAGATCCTCATATTGTCTATAACAGCGGAGCCAAACCGGTTGATCGCGTTAACCAGTAACCCGAACTAATCGTAACCCGGCCAACAATTACGTGGCCTTGAGGGGTGGTGGTTTGACGGCTTCTTGTTCTGTGGCAGGGTCAGATTTAGGCCTCGGCTAAGCGAGCTCCAGCTAAGTCAGCCTACATTCATTAACGACGGGGCCCTCTTAAGTCTGAACAAAACTTACAATTGGACACACGTTGTACTTTTTTTACATAGCCCGTTGAAAAAGATATATCTTAGGGCCCCAGCATTGTCATAAACCGCCCATGCTTGGGGCTAGGTAGATGTTAACTACCTCGCCTGGGGTACATGAGGTCGTGAGTTCCATCCCGACCCTGACGATGCCTGCTGCTGTTTATTTGTAATTTTTCTCTGTCTCTCCCCGTAGTGGTCACTGCGTGGATTTTTCTCCGAGTTCTCCGGTTTTTCCCTCCCCTTTAGAATCAACGTGATGCGTTTAGAGTGTTTGGCTGCAGCTTTAAATCTCCACATAATGATGATGATAGCCACTTCGTTGAGCTATAATTTGTGGTGGCCAGGTCGCTTCTGAAAAAGATCTACACAGCTCAGTGGACCTTACCTGGTAAAATTAACATAGTTAAGTCTCTATGTATCTCTGCATTTCTATGCATATATGTGGTGTTTCTCTGTGTATCTGTGTGCTGTATTCATTCCGATATGATGGGGCCTCTTAAGCGACGTAGCTTAGGGCCCCAGCATTTTCATAACCTGGCCCTGTTCCACGGTGACATCGATCAATTAATCAGTTTTTGTTTTATTTGCTAATCTCGCCCTCTATTAAGCAGGCATCATTGCAGATTTCCCCGCACGTCCGTGTAGCATGGTTGTCTATTTACGGTGTGAAATACGTTTAATAAAAATGCATATACTCCTGTATGGTTCTCATTGCATATCTGTGCGTCTCTATGAATCTCTAGGCATTTTGATCACTGTAAATTTGGACGTGGTGATACGCTACCTCTTTGAGCTATAATTTGTGGCCAGGTTGCTTCTAAAAAAGAACTACATAGCCCGGTGAGCCTTACCTGGTGAAATAACGAAAAAGATAGTTCAGTTGAAAATTTGTAAACGGGAAATTAAATAAATATTAAATAAAGAAGCAGATACAGGGTAGACGAGTCTGACCAGGTGCGTCTTGTACAGAGCACGGGAATTGAGCGCGACGCTCGACAAGTTTTGGGTGTCGCTATTGCAGATACGCAATTGCCTTTTGGAAGAACAAATTTGAACTAAAGTTCAGCCATTCCGCAAACACCCTGGTGCTCAGCTGTTGTCGAGTAGCCCCACTTCTCCGGTGGACAGAACACAACATGGAGTTACATCTACTCAAAAATGTCTCCAAACTTTATTTTGTTGTTGTTGTCTATTTAGCCCACCTGTCCCACCTCGTTAGGATTTGCGGGAGCAGAGGGACAGCAGAGCGGATCGGCTCCACTTAGCATGGCAGCGGCGGCAGCAGCAGGTGGCCGGGACCGGGGCCTGGAGGAGGAACTGACTTGCTCCATTTGCCTGCAACTCTACGTCGACCCCGTGCTGCTGGGCTGCCCACACACCTTCTGCAGAGAGTGCATCGTGAGCGCGTGGCGCGACGGTGCCTGTGCCTGCCCCGAGTGCCGCAGGGTCTTGCCCTTTGGCTCCAAGGAGGAGATGCGGCTGCAGCTCGTGAAAAACTTCAAGCTGGCCAGCATCGTGGACAGGTCCTGGTCCCCGGAAAAGATAGTTAGTTGGTTAGTTGGTGGGTTAGTCCATTGGTTTAGTAAATTACATTTGTTGAGCCAGCTGGCTCGTATTGGGAAAAATTTAGCCCACTTTTCACCCAGTCTCTGTCGATCCTATGTGTCTCTGTATACCTCTTTGAGTCTCCCATGTGTCTATATGTACAGTGAGGGAAAAAAGTATTTGATCCTCTGCTGATTTTGTACGTTTGCCCACTGACAAAGAAATTATCAGTCTATAATTTTAATGGTAGGTTTATTTGAACAGTGAGAGACAGAATAACAACAAATCCAGATAAACGCATGTCAAAAATGTGAAAAATTGATTTGCATTTTAATGAGGGAAATAAGTATTTGACCCCTCTGCAAAATATGACTTAGTACTTGGTGGCAAAACCCTTGTTGGCAATCACAGAGGTCAGACGTTTCTTGTAGTTGGCCACCACGTTTGCACACATCTCAGGAGGGATTTTGTCTCACTCCTCTTTTGCAGATTTTCTCCAAGTCATTAAGGTTTCGAGGCTGACGTTTGGCAACTCGAACCTTCAGCTCTCTCCACAGATTTTCTATGGGATTAAGGTCTGAAGACTGGCTAGGTCACTCCAGGACCTTAATGTGCTTCTTCTTGAGCCACTCCTTTGTTGCCTTGGCCGTGTGTTTTGGGTCATTGTCATGCTGGAATACCCATCCACGACCCATTTTCAATGCCCTGGCTGAGGGAAGGAGGTTCTCACCCAAGATTTGACGGCCCCGTCCGTCGTCCCTTTGATTCGGTGAAGTTGTCCTGTCCCTTTATCAAAAAAACACCCCCAAATCATAATGTTTCCACCTCCATGTTTGACGGTGGGGATGGTGTTCTTGGGGTCATAAGCAGCATTCCTCCTCCTCCAAAAACGGCGAGTTGAGTTGATGCCAAAGAGCTCCATTTTGGTCTCATCTGACCACAACACTTTCACCCAGTTGTCCTCTGAATCATTTAGATGTTCATTGGCAAACTTCAGACGGGCATGTATATGTGCTTTCTTGAGCAGGGGCACCTTGCGGACGCTGCAGGATTTCAGTCCTTCACGGCGTAGTGTGTTACCAACTGTTTTCTTGGTGACTATGGTCCCAGCTGCCTTGAGACCATTGACAAGATCCTCCCGTGTAGTTCTGGGCTGATTCCTCACCGTTCTCATGATCATTGCAACTCCACGAGGTGAGATCTTGCATGGAGCCCCAGGCCGAGAGAGATTGACAGTTCTTTTGTGTTTCTTCCATTTGCGAGTAATCGCACCAACTGTTGTCACCTTCTCACCAAGCTGCTTGGCGATGGTCTTGTATCCAATTCCAGCCTTGTGTAGGTCTACAATCTTGTCCTTGACATCCTTGGAGAGCGCTTTGGTCTTGGCCATGGTTGAGAGTTTGGAATCTGATTGGTTGATTGCTTCCATGAACAGGTGTCTTTTATACAGGTAACAAGCTGAGATTAGGAGCACTCCCTTTAAGAGTGTGCTCCTAATCTCAGCTCGTTACCTGTCTAAAAGACACCTGGGAGCCAGAAATCTTTCTGATTGAGAGGGGGTCAAATACTTATTTCCCTCATTAAAATGCAAATCAATTTATAACATTTTTGACATGCATTTTTCTGGATTTTGTTGTTGTTATTCTGTCTCTCACTGTTCAAATAAACCTACCATTAAAATTATAGACTGATAATTTCTTTGTCAGTGGGCAAACGTACAAAATCAACAGGGGAATAAATACTTTTTTCCCTCACTGTATCTCTGAGTCGCAATACATGTCTATGAGTCTATGTATCCCTTTCTTCTTTTGTATAGCATTTTTGGGACAGCAACAGATTACAATTGATTTCGAGATTTAATGTTGATTCGACTTCTTCAGGAGTAGCCGCATGGATTTGTTTCAGATCGCCGTTGAATGATCTGATATGTTGCGCGGTCTGAGATCTTGCACCACAGTCACAAACTGGACTCTTGTTAATTTTCTATTTGTGAAGAAAGTGTCCACATTTCCATGGAGTGTCCGGATCTGATTCAAGGAGAACCAGATCTTCTTCGGTAGATGAGATCCTGTTTGGAGGATTGCAGGGCCGCTGATGATGGATTTCTGCAAGATTTTGGTGTTTGCTCAAGTTTCCGCTCATCGTGCTTTGGTGGTCTTGTCATCATCATGTATGTTCTTTGCATATTACAAGAAAGGTTTTCTTGATTTGAGCCTGTGTGGTGGGGGCATGGAGATGTCTTTGTTTATTGGGAGGTTTGGATTTATGATAGCCTTGCAATACTCCCTCACAGATGCAGCATTGCGACAGAGCTGTGGAGGATCGATATTTGCGAGGACCGAAAGCCACGGCAACGGTGTGCTCTTTAGCATCCCTGAGATGACCCTCATGGATGCATTTTTGTGCCCACCAGCTTTGTGTGCATGCTTTTATTCCAGGCTAGGGCACAATATCCTGCCGCAGAGAAGACTAGTGCTGTGGTGGCCGTCCGGAGTGTTGTTGCCTTTGCTCTCCATGTTCCGGCCAGTTTATGCACGAGATTAACTCGCGATTTTGTTGTTACAGCAGCATTCTGCAGGTTTTGTGGAAGGTGAGGCTGCTGGCAAGAGTTACACCGAGGTATTTGATGTACTTGTCGTGCTGGACCTCTTCGCCACAGAAAGTGACGGCCAGTTTCTGGTCGGCGCTTGCATTGTTCAGATGGAATAATGTTATAACAGTGTTCCTTGGGTTTGGGCGGAGCCTCCAGTACTTCAAGTACGTTTTGAGTTTCTTGAGGTCTCCGCACAGGTCACTTTTGACCTCAATTTTGAGTCATTCTTTGGACGGCAAGTGCTAGGTCATCGGCGTAGCCAAATTTCCGGCCGTCGGTGACAGGGAGGTCACATATCTATGTATGTTAAAAGTGCCACAGCAAGCACTGATCCTTGTGGGAGCCCGTTACTGAGGAAGCGGGCTCTGCTGACAGTGTTCTCTAGGTGGACATGGTATGGCTGGTTGGACAGTAGTGATGATAGAAGTCTGAGGGTCTACTGGCATCGGATGACCTTAGCTTTAGCACGAGGCCTTCCCACCATACTGTGTCATCGGCCAGTGATAGGTCTATGAAAGCGGCTCCTGTGATTTTTTGCACTGGTAGCCAGCTTCAATGTGTGTGGTGAGTGCCAACACTTGATAGCAAATGCTGTGGCCAGGGTGGAAGCCAGCCTGTTCAGTTGGTATAGTTTCCTCGAAGATCGGTGACATACAGGTCAGTAGCATCCTCTATAGGAGTCTGTACACTGTAAAAAGCAGGGATATGGGGCAGAACTTATTTGGGTTTGCGGTTGACTTCCGGAATGGCAATGATCTTCATTTGTCGCCATTTTTGGGAATTTGCCTGAGGAAATTATGTCTGAAAACAATCTAGCCAGCCAATGGCATCCTTTTTGGCCAAGGTGTTTAAGAAACTTGGGATAAATCCCATTTAATCTTGTGGCCTTTCCTGATCTAGTGGCTTTTATAGCATCAATGACCTCTTCTTCATTGAAGGGGGATAACAAGGCTGTTGTCGGTGCACATTCTGCTATTAATTGGTGGAGTTTTTATTTCACTCGCTGTCTTTGCCGATCTGTAGAGATCTTTCCATTCAATAGCATCTGTGTGGCGATGGCATTGATGGGCACATTGGCGGTCTTGTGTCTCGGTGGTGGTGCTGCTCCTTGGTGTCTCAGGAGACAGCAGGCTTTATGGCTTGAGTGTGTGAAATCTAATGACTCCATCGCTTCTGTCCACCTTTGGCTCTGAGTTTCCTGACTCTGTATTTCTGGAGTAGGGACTTGCTTTGTCCTTTCCAGCATGGAGTGTATTCTGCCAAGTAACCCCATGGAATTTGTGAGTGGGCTGCTTGAGCATAATCTTGGTGAAACGTTCATAGTTTTCTGACTTTGTTGGATTCTGGGAGACAGTGCATACGATGTCTTCAATAAAAGATTCCCAGTTGCCCTTTCTTAAGTTGCATCGTGGCACAGGGGTGGACGTGATCATCAGAATTTTGACCCCGATGTGCACCAAGCCTGGCCTGTGCTAACTGTTCGGGAATTGTCTAGAACCATTCTGGAAGCACACAGCGGTTCACCCGAACAGGAACACGACACAAAGCACGGGTAAGGGTTTGAATCCATCTTCCATCGTGCGGAATGGAAGGTGCCTTGATCTTTAGCATCAAACAGAATGAACAGATAACTAGTTGCTGCCCAGTCGATGACCCATTCTTCACAGGTTTCATTGGTTGAATACACCAGGCCATGTGATGGCTGTTGAAGTCACCTGCGAAAACCGCGGGATGGGTCGCAGCAGGCAGCATGTTTGGGCTCCATGTGGTTCTTGGAGGTTTATATACATTTATCACAGATACATAATTGATTTTGACGATGATGATGGATGTCGGTATGTTGTTTTCTGCGTTCGTTGTGGTGAGGTCCTTGAAATGGAATTTCACGTGGCGTCGGTAGTCCCTGCTTGGGATGGTGGTAGCTGGCAGGAATTTTCATTTTTGAGGCTCTCGTCGTCAGCTGTACAGGAGTTTCTTGGAGCAGGAGCGCGTCGAGCCATCTGGATTGCGAGGAAATGTCCCAGCAAGTCGCACTTCGGCCTTGATATATACTTCTACATTTAGATAGCAGAAACGTAGTGACGGCCCTATTCTGTGGTAAGTTTGGCAATGAAAAGGATCTTTGGTGTTGTAATCCTGATCAGGAGGGCCATTTTGACATTCAATCACTGGGATGATAACATCAGTTTGTGACAAGCACGTTACAGTGCAGACCATGGGTAGATTGCCATCTTCTCCACCTATGTATCTCGTTTAGTCTCTATGTATCTCTTAGTCTCTGTATCTATTAATTTCCTATGTATCCCTAATGAGTCTCTATGTATCTCAATATATATGTATCTCATCTCGATGAGTCTGTTTAACACGTAGGCTTTCGCGACCAATATACTCCATAATACAGGTTTTTTTGGGTTAGATCACGTAAATCTATAAATGTGTCTTTAAACCCGCCACCACCTGACACAGCCAATTTAGTAAGGTTTGTCACATAGACAGAACATGCCAATTCGTTACTAGTACAGCACACAACATTTACAAGCTGAGTACTCAGATTGTAAATGTTGTGGTTTTGCTCGCCAACACACCAGTGTGCTGTGTTAGTAACAAATTGGCATGTTCTTTTTACTTGACAAACCTTACTAATTGGATGTGTCGGGTGGTGGCAGGTTTTACGACATATTTATGTATTTGCTCTATGAGTCTCTATTACATCTCTATGTATCCCTATGAGTCTCTGTATCTCTATGAGTATCTAAATATCTTTATCTCTACGAATCCATACGTATCTCTACGTATCTTTATGAGTATTTATGTATCTATGTGGCTCTGAATCCATATGTATCTTTATGAGTCGGTTAGTTTATTAAGTTTGCTGAGCCAGCTGACCAGGATGTGGCAAAACCCATCCCACTTTTCACCCAGAAAACTGAAGAGCAGCATATACTAAGCATTACTCACCTTACATTAAAACTGACAACATTTCAGAATCAGAGTTAAAATTAAACAACACTACTTCCTAGGATATGTTAATTCGAAATGGTTATTTTCTCTCTATTTCTGTATGGTGCTCTGAAGCCCTATTTTGGGTCTGCTGCGCCTTATATACACGTTCATAGTAATAATAAAGAGTGACCAAGGTAAAAGTAAGAAAACGGTTACACCTTCTTTGGTGCAACCAAATGATGCAGGCATTGATGGGAAGGAAACTGGCACTATTTGGACAGAATAGTGCCAGTTTTAGGATGGACAACAACAACATTTTAAAGTGTGGTGTTGTTGTTTGAGGAAAATTTTAAGGAACCGGAAAGAGTGAAAGACAAAAACAGAGAATGGATTGACGACGACTTTATAAGAGATTGGTGCTGAAAAGACATGGCACTATTGGAGTCATATTGGCACTACAAGATGAAGAAAAGTGGAAAGTAATGACTGTTTCAGTGGACACCTACTATGGGGGCTATCAACCCATGGATGATGATAAATAATTGTAAAAAGCATCAAATTACAGAGGTAGGCTTATGACATTTTTCGTGATTTATAACACGTTGTGGATTTACAGAACAGGCATGATGCTCCCACATCTTAAGACGCTGCTGTGTAGAAACAGAGCAAGTACGCAACCCACAACATGCTGTATACCATAATTAAGGTTTTTTAGGGTTAGATCGCGTAAATATAAACGTGTCGTTAAACCTGCCACCGCCCAACACAGCCAATTAGTAAGGTGCGTCACGTAAACAAAATGTGCCAATTCGTTACTAGTTCAGCACACTGGTGTTTTGGAAAGTAATCCCACAACATTTACAAAATACCATGTATGTATGTATAACCACTTTCACACCGTACATAGCCAACCGTGCTAATTGGAGGTGATGGGGGAAGGACAACAAACTAAACTAAAAAAAACTCCCGGTCTCTGGAGTTGTCATCTGGTTAAACAAATTATACTTGTAACCTGAAACTGTCTTTTGTCTCGCGAGTCCCTACTCATGTTTCGTGACAGTACAATACTAAACGAAACTCTTTTACATTTTACCAGATAAGGCCCACTGAGCTATATAGCTTTTTTTCAGAAGTGACCTGTCTATAACAAATGAATGCTCAACCAACTGGATTATCATCACGTGCAAATTCATAGCAGAAGTCAAATACTCTAAGCTCATGATTGTTGATTCTAAACGTAGAGGGGGAAAAATGGAGGACCCGGAAAAAAATCCATGAAACCACTACGGGAGAGAGAAGCAGACTCCAAATATACAGAAGCAACCACTGTCAGGGTATGGGATCGAACACACGACCTCCTGCATACCAGGCAGGGTAGTTAACATCTCTGCACCGCGATACCCCAGTGTTTGTTGTTATAAATGCAGAGGGGAAAACTGGACAACCAAGGAAAAATCCATAAGACCACAGGGAGAATGAACACCCACACTCTAAATGTATAGCAGATTTCGGGGTCGGGATCAAACCCACGACCTCCTGTGCACCAGCTGAGATAGTTAACATCTTGCCACCGTGGTGCCCCAATGTGGACAATTGAGCTACGGGAGATATAGCCGCTATTCACGGTCGCTCAGTGAAGACTGTTTGTACCAATAGGTTCTCAAGTCTCAGCCCGGAGGGGGAACGGCCGCGGAAGGAGCTCAACCCGAGCTTGGCACTAGCGAGGCCCCCGAATCTGGACCTCTGTGCTCAGCATGGCAAGGCACTTGTCATGTTCTGCCAGGAGCATGGGGCGTCTGTGTGCGCCGACTGTGTCACGAGCGGTGCACACCGGGGCCACAAGCTCACGTCAACAGAGGAGGCTGATCGGCAGGCAAAGGTGAGGTGCTCTGAACACGGCAACCGCGTGGTGATGGTGGTGGTGATGATGGTGGTTGTGGTGTTGATGATGGTGGTGATGGTGGCGATGGTGGCGATGGTGGTGGTCGTGATTGTAGTGGTGTTTGTGGTGATGGTGGTGGTACCGACAATGGTGGTGGTAGTGGTGGTGATGTTGGTGCTGGACGGTAATGGTATGGTGAGCAGTGCCATGTGCGGAGGGCGAATTTAAATTTGCCATTTTCCTCATGGTGTTTGTAGCCACCACAGCGTCCAAAGTGGGCTCTGGACAGATGCAAGGGGCTGGTAACCTCTCCACATTCAATTACCACTAATCCACAAAAAAATATATACAGCTAAGCTGTCCCAGGGGGGACAGTCATCTATGATGTCTCCTGTCCAAACTTACATTTGGTGGAGCCAGGAGATTGAATCCTTACCCTTGGGGTCCCTATAGAAACAGCAAAAAGCCACTGCGGGTGGCCACCTGGAATGTTCAAACGCTCACTGCGGAGGAGAGGATGTCACTCTTCTGTCGGGAGCTTGACCGGTACCGCCTGGATCTCTGTGGTATTTAGGAGGTCCAGTGGACCGGCTTTGGCTCCTGCCACCATGAGGGTTAGACAGTCCTCTACTCGGGGCAGGAGACTGCCAAACAACAGGGAGTGGCTCTTCTTCTGAACAAAATAATGAATGGGGCATGGGAGTGTGGCAGTGAGGTGTGGGAAGCTGTACGCCCCAGACTACTTTGGGTTCGCCTTCCTATCAACCAGAGGCGAGGAGTGGAGGACGTGGTTACTTATGCCCCCACCCAAGATGAACATCAGTGGGATGCCAGCAAGGCCGATGAATCAAATGCATTTTATGACCTGTCACAGGTGCGAGCTAAAGTGGCCCCTCGAGATAGAGTCATCCTGTTGGGTGACTTTAATTCCCGAGTTGGTCATGATGCTGGCACCAGGTCTGGATTGATTTGAAGGCATTGGCCGGGTTAGCACAATAACATCGGTAGGAGGCTGCTTGACTTTTGTGCAGCCCATGAGCTTGTAATTACCAACACTCTGCTCCGGCATCGGCGCATCCACACAACATAATGGATGCACGCCAGGTCAAAGCAAGAACATCTGCTGGACTGGATAGTGACGGAACAGTGGATGCAGACCCATGTCCTTTGCACCAGGACCTACTTTGAAGCTGATCTGCCCACTGATCATAGACTTGTCATCTGTAAGATGCACCTGCATTTTTCCACTCTACTTTTGGGTGTATACCCAGGACCCCATTCAAACACACAATGGCCTGATCTCAGATAGCTGATGAAAGTTGCAAGCGAGATTTTCATCATTGCTTTCAGCTGAGGTTGACCTCGTCCCCCACTCCTCATGATGCCGAGGGGAATGGTTGAGGTTAAGGACTGTGGCTCATGCAGCTGCAATGGCTGCTTTAGGTACATTGTCCAGACCTCCCCAGAGACCCTGGCTGACAGGGGAGGTGTTCAGGCTGTCTGATAAAAAGCACCAGGCCCACTCACCGCCTATAGCATCCCGCATCAGAGAATGAGGAGGCTTACCTCAGCCTTCACTCGGAGGTTCGGAGAGCCGTGAGGCGCTGCAAGGATGGGTGGTGGTCGCGGGTTGCTGAGGAGATGGAGTCTGCCTCAGTAGCTCGCAACCACAAATCACTCTAACTCCATCAAAAACGTCACTTGCAGTCTTACACCTATCACCATCATTAGGGGAAAAAACAGTGATCCAATCTCCAACCCCCAGGAACAGGTTTTCAGATTTTCTGAGCATTTCTGAGGTCTTGGGGGAGGGGAAATCACTCAGCTTGGAAAACAATGGGGCAAAGTGAGGATGACCCTGCTGAGGATGCAGTGTCTTAAATATTGGAAGAAGTAGTCACCCCCTGGAGTGGATGGCTGAGGTGCCAGTTGTTAATGAAGAACTGAAGGCGATCCAGAGTCTTAGACTGGGAAACGCACCAGACAGCGATGATCTCCCAAGCAAAATGCTGAGCGAGGGTGGTGTTTGTGCACAGACTGCCCGACATGACATTTTAATAACAGTCTGGACCACTGGACGGGTTCCACAGAATTGGAAGGATGCCCTGGTGGTTCGCCTCTTTAAGAAGGGGGACTGTACAGACTAGGCCTCGGCAAGGTAAGGTAAAAGTTAAAATGTAAAAACAACGAGCCTATTTTTACCCTACCTTTTACCTTACCACAATACAATCACTCTAACCTACCTTTTACCCTTTAGCAGGTAAGGTAAAAGGTAAAAAGCAACGAGCCTACCTTTTACCCTTACCCCATACAAATTACCCAATTACAGGGTAATTACTAGGGAACTACACATGAACAAGGTTTCTAACGGTAAATGCTAGGGAGAGCGCTTTATTCATATAGAATACTCTCGATGATTTTACACGCTTGTTGTCGTTGTTGTCATTGTTGTTGTTGTCATTGTTGTCGTTGTTGTCGTCGTCGTTGTCGTCGTTGTTGTATCCTCAAATCTTGTAACTAAATTTTTACCCACTTCCTAATGTGGTATCGACTGCAAACTTGGTATACTTATGTCATACTGATGACAACACTATATTCTATCATAAAATCCTTTTTTAAATCCTTTATATTAAGTTCGCTTGCTTGCTTACGACCGTGCAAATCTTTCGGTCGTTTTTTAACCCACTTCCCGTGATCCAATCGAGCTGACATTTTCCACACAGACTCGTTGTGCGTGACAATTAATATCCGTGAAATTTTTTTTCCAAAATTTTACACTTTTTAGGACAAAAAAATTATATTTAATTACCAATTGCTTAATGGTGCAATGCACTCATCTGACCCATAGGTGGCAGCCATCTCAAGCCAGAGGACGAGAGGACTCTAGCCGCCACGCATATAAAGGATTTATAGTGAAAAACTTTGTTTTTACGGGTTATACTTGTTATATGTTATGTTTCGGCTTGGATCTAATTGTCCACGCTCAACTGACGTTGGCTGTAATTGGCCACGGGCCCTTACGTTTTGGCAAGCTTCGGGGCCACTTCCTGGAGTCGTGGAGTTCTGCCATTACTCGTACATTTAATAAAAGCGTGTTTTTAAGAAAGTAAAAAAAAAATATTACTTATTAAATGTAGGCCACGGACTGCGCCACGGAGCTTTTAGTGGTAAACAAGGTACCGTATTTACCGGGTAATACTTCGTGCTACCTTTACCCTACTGGGTAATTCTTCCGAGGTACTTTTACCCAACCCTTTACCTTACCCCTTGGCATGTCGACACCTTTACCCGTTACATTTACCCTTTTACCCGGTAAAAAGAGTAAATTACCTTACCTTGCCGAGGCCTAGTACAGACTGTAACAACTACAGGGGCATCTCACTCCTTTATGCTGGGAAAGGTCCTGCCAAAGATTATTCAACATCGCCTTGCCAGGCACGCTGAGGAGAGGTTTGCGGAGCCTCAATGTGGTTTCAAGGAAGGGCGGTCCTGCACAGATTCTATATTTTACGTCCGTCTGCTACAGCAGAGATGCAGGGAGTTCCAACACGACCGATGTCTCTGCTTTATTGACCTGGTCAAGGCCTATGATACATTAAAAGGCATCGCTTTCCCACCTGATGATGGACGCTTGTGTTGCGCCCGAAACGTCGTGATTTATTTTATTTTATACCTATGTGACTTTACCAAAAAAACCAAAGAGTATCATTAAGGACCTTAATGATGGTGAGCAAGCCCAGGGTTAAACTACGTGGCCGGGAGTCGGAGCCATTCCTTGTTCACCTTGAGTTGCGACAGGGGTATCCTCTGGTTCCCACGTTATTTAACGACTATTTCGACCACGTAGTTCATTAAGCCTTTGATGGTTTTACCGGAGGAATTTCCATCTGGTACAAATATAATGGGAGGCTGATCGATGTCCGGGTGCCATCAAGGGATGGCTCTATATTGGTCAACCACGTTACCACAACTAAGCACCTGCCTGGGTATTTTGTACCATCAGACACTCAACCCCAACAACTCCCAATCGGTGATGGGGCAGTTGTGGAGAGAGTGGAGAGTTTCCCATACATGGGCAGTGTGCTCATGACCGGCTCCAGTTTGACAGCAGAGGTCTCACTCTGAATCGGTCAAGCGGCATTAACTTTTCATCGGCTGCGTAATGCTGTATGGAAGCTACCCGGTCTGTCGCTCCACACAAAGTTTCGGGTCTTCTCGGCCACTGTCATGCCCTCCCTTCTCTATGCTTACAAAACGTGGACCCCCCTAATGAATCATCTTTGCCAGTTAGAAACATTTAGGCTGGCCTGCCAACGATCTTTCCTGGGTTTAACCAGGCTGGATTGTGCCAGGAGCTCACAAATCCTTGAAAAATCTAGGCAATGTCCCAATGGTGAGCTCCGGCAGGCAAGGCTGTGTTGGTTGGGTCATGTAGCCCACATGCCCAGCCACCGCCTGCCTAAACAGTTTTTGGTTATACCAGCTAAACGGCCGTGACACGGGCTGGAGAAGAGATGGAGTAATGTGGTACAGGAGGATGTAGAGCTGATTGGACTTGCCGATGACTGGTACAAGCGGTGTCAAGATCGGCCTCTGTGGAGGAGGCTCCTGAAGGATGATACTGGGCAGTTGGAGGCAGTCGCCCTCCAGCAACAACGGTGGACAGAGGAGCGATGCTCACAACAATGAGCAGACTGCCGGGTGGCTAAAACATAGCAAGTTGGCATAGTAGGGGGCACAGTTGGTGCATCAGCCAGTTATCTCAGTCAGTCGAACCATGGCACCTGGGTCTGCCCCGTGATGTACTGCTGGTGGGTGTTTGATACTTCACGTGGCCTTAACATGCCATGCACATAGCCTGGCACAAGCGCCATGGTGAGATCACTGTCACTTAGTGGGAAATGGCGGTTGTTGGTGGTGGTGGTGGTGATGATGATGGTGGTAGTAGTGGTGATGGCTGTGGTGTGGCTCAGAGGTCAGATTCGAATCTGGGTTTGGGCCAAGCATGGTTGTGACTGCCCTCCTCGATTGATGCGACTTCGTGAGATGAGTGCAGTCACGAAGCAAAAAAACGTTGGAGTTTTGCACTTGAACTTTGTTTTAAACTCGACTCGTGGTGCCCACTGGCACACGCAAAACTAAAACTAAAAAATCCACATTGAAAATAGATAAACTTGCCAAAATCAACAGCGTTGCATTGAACACGCCTCGCATCGTTCCAGGACTGTGGTGCATTTAGTAAACAATAATCTAACAAAACTACAAACTTTTTTTTTGTACCAGGAAAGGTCCACTTAGCTTATACAGATATTTTTCAGAAGCTACCTGGCCATTACAAATCGTAGCTGAAGCAAGTTGCATATCATTTCAATATTTATAGTAGCAGTGAAACACTAAACACGTGATGTTTATTCTAAATGTGGAGGGAAAATTGGAGGACCCAGATACAAATCCACGCGACTGTGGGAAGAGAAAGGAAGAGAAAGAGGGAGAGGCATGCAAACTCCACATATACAACAGACATCAGGGTTGGGATCAGACCCCCCACCTGTATACCAGGCGAGGGAGATTAGATCTCTTTGCCACCGTGAGTAGGCTGTGTGAATCCTGGTCTCCTTCCGCTCTTCAATGAACCACTCAATGAGGGATTTGTCGATCGCTCATAATGCAAGACCTTCGGGAGAAAGCCTTATGAAATCAGCGGAGGGTAAATCATCATCACGGTCGATGGGGCGAGAGTCTCAACGTCTTACAATTTGTCAGCCAGAGAGTGTCAAAGGTCGTTCCGGACCACAGCATTTCCGAGCCGGGCACAGTCTAGTCGCTTCTTTCCTGACTTCTGGAGACAGATAGGAGGGCGTACTCTCACCTGTAGTTTGGTCGTGATAAGTCTGTGATCTGTCCAGCACTCAGCACCTCTCATTGCACGGGTGAGTAAGACGTCTTTTATATTGGAACGTCTCACAATTATGTCATCTATTAAGTGCCAATGTTTGGCACTTAATAGATGCAACCTGGGTGCATCCAGGATGTATTATATTTGTCTTTTAGTTGAAATATGGTGTTCGTGATGGTCAAGCTATGCTCAGCGCAAAGGGTCAATAACCTCATGCCTTTTTGCATTAGCTTGCTCAATGCCATGCTTACCAATAACTCCACTCCACACCTCATTGTCCTTTCCCACCCCAGTATTGATGTCACCCAGAAAAAAAATATTATCATTGCTGTGGATGTGACGGTGGGCCTCATTTAGTGCTTGGTAGAAGCGATTCCTAACCTCGCTCTCTGATGGTAAAGTCGGTGCATAGCCACTTATAAGTGTGGCATAGTGCTTCTTTGCTAGCGAGATGCATATAGTAATGAGTCTCTTATTTATGTCAATCGGTGTCTCTGTGAGATTGGGTAGGAGGCTGTTTTTTTAATGCAAATCCCAAACCATGTAAATGTTGTCCTCCTTGGAGGTATCCCTTCCAGAAGAAGGTATAACCCTGGCCTTCCTCCTTCAGGGAGCCTTCATCCAGGAGTCTGGTTTGGCTAACAATGTCAATGTTTTATCGCTTTAATTCCGCTGCAACTAGGGCAGTTCTTCGAAGGGGTCTCTCAGTAGGGTTTTTACACTCCACGTTGCCAGTTTAAGGGAGATTTTTTTTATTATATTCTTAGGTCTTTCGGTAATGTCACGTCGATTGACCCAAGAATATGAATTCCTGTAGTCCTGAAAACTTTAATTCAAGATTTATTTTCTTATTGTTTTTTCGACCGCAGACTGGAACAACCCTATAGGTGCGATAACCTATCCATGTAAGTTTGAGTTTGTAATGTTTAGGCCACCTTTTCAAGGCCCCTTTCCATTCGGGGTGATCAGTGCAGATCCTAAATTGGACTACTCAGTCACACAGGGGTTTGCCGAGAGCAGCTGCAACTCAGTCCCAGCTGCTACTGACCAAATGCCCTGTGCCGCTGGCGTGCGGGGCTCTGACTAGGAGCTTTTGGATATGTTCGTACCTGCTCCCTCTCACCAGACCACTCAACGCCGCCAGACTTTTCTCCAGTTTTTCCAGATGCGCGATTCACAGAGGCAGAAGTGGGTACCTGCGCAAAGAGTATATTTAGAGTGCGGTTGGGGGGGTGCAAGTCCCAACAGCACTTCTTTACTGCAATAGGATGGAATCCAGTGCAAAGGGAGAACCCAGGACGACTGGCACTCTTCCACAGTTGCAGGAGGCTGCCGGAGCTCCAGTCTATCGGAGGACCACCTTTCGCACGCCACCAAGCACGTTGCTTCAATCTCAGAGTGTGCTCCCCTAGCTTTTGTCTTCCCAGACTTATCCACAAGGCCGCGGGAACACGGCTATAGACACAAAGACAGATACAACATTTTTTAAATAATAATGTTAATAAATAAATAAATAGGTTTGATGAAATAATGTAGTGGTACTTGCATGTATGTGCTTAATTTGTGTTCAACGATTTTGCTTCTAAAAACATCTGGCATGTCTCACACCCCCAGAAAGGACATCTCGCACCCCCAGGGGGTTCGTGCACCCCAGGTTTAAAACAACTGGTGTAGTGTATAGCGTAGTGTATAGTGTAGCTTATAGTCGTGTCATGAATAGTAGTGTAGTGTATCATCATTATGATCCATGAGGCAAGATAGCCCGGAGTAGGTGCCCACTGCACTTTTCTTCACTTGTTGTTTCCACTTTCTCCTCTGTCTTGAAGTGCTAATATGGCTCAAGTTAGTGGCTACATCTTTCTGGCACCAATCCCCTTATGACGCCTTCTTCAAGCCATCGTTTTCTGTGTTTGGTCTTCCTCTCTTTCTGGTTCCTTACATTTTTTCTGAACAACAACAACCCTTTTCATTTAATGGGTAAATATCGCGTATGATTTAAATCGTTTTGCTAAAGGCTTTTTTGTTTGGTTTGTTTTCTTTTTTTAAAACAGGAATCCCTTTCGTGTTCACTCGAAAAACTTATGACACATAATGGGAAAGTTTCAGCAAGATTGAATATACTGAAGAACACGGAAGCCAATGTAGAGGTGAGACCCAATAACACAATAACACGAATTCCCATGAAATGAAGATGACTGATGATGATACAGATACTCGACTTTATTAACCTTCCAGGCAATAATAATAATAGATTAGGCGTTTACGATGTTCAAACAGCAAATAGACAACGATTATATAATTCACTGTGTAACAAAATAATTTTTTTGTTCCTGGGTAGTAAGTAAGCAACGTTTGTGGGGAATAATAGCCATTTTCTATACTTTTGAGGCATAAGAAATTAGAAAATAACACTTACTACCCAGGAACAAAAATCGTGTTACATCGTGAATTATCACGACAAGGCATGATCAAGTCTGCACCAACCACAACATCACACTTGTGGTAAAACGTAAAAACAAACGTGCTTTGATAGTAACATATGCACTAGCTTTGAAACAGAAAAAAGTCAGTTATATTGGCCAAAAAGGGTACCATAGATGTAACTGCTCAACCCGGGCTATTGATACTTTGATATTTGCATTGTCATCGTGCTGTTCGCCTTTTGGCGTTATACTCTGTTATAATACCGGGACTCCTTTTTTACCAGTATCACTGATTGTCGTACACCACTATCAGGATGATCACCTTGATACATCTGATGGTTATCTTGAAACATCTTGATACTGGTTGCAGGCCAATTAGTTCCAAGGAGAATGCCTACATTATAATCAAAGCAGTTTTGTTTGCATATTTTACCACAAGCATGGTGTGTGGTTAATGCAGACTTGATGAGGCCTTGTAGTGATAGTCGGTGTCCATTTTGGTTTTTGGGTGCCCTCGTGGCTAGGAGATGTTATCTCCCACGCCTCGTATGCAGTAGGTTGTGGGTTTGATTCCGACCCTGAGGATGCCTGCTGCTGTATCTTTTGAGTTTGGTTGTCTCTCCCCCCGTGGTTGTTGTGCGGATTTGTCTCCAGGTCCTCCGTTTTTTCCAAACACATTTAGAATCAATGGCACGCATTTAGATTATTTGACTGCTGCTATACATTTCCACCTGATGATAATAATCAATTTGGTTTAGCTATCAAAAAATATGTTTGAACATTTTAATACCTCTCGTGTTCTTGTCAGAAACAGTAAAGCCTATTCCTACGTAATTTGTTCCTTCCTCCACGAATTCCTTTGTTTAGATGAATACCTCACATGCTCATTTTCGTGCTGCCCTTTGATTCAGAACATTAATACCGATTCCACTTAATGCCGATATCAAACCGGCCACCACACGACATAGCCAATTAGTATGGTGGTTTGTCAAGCCAATAAAATGTGCCAATTCGTTACTTGTTGGAGAGTAAAACCCCCCACAACATTTGCAATTCATATACTGACGTTTCGCCGGTAATTATTAACAACCAGCCATATCAGTTGACAGCCAGAATTGTGGAGAAATCTTCCTGTTTCGGTCTTAAATGTAGGAGAAATAAATGTGATGCCAATTGTGAACCAATCAGAAGAGAAGAGGGGGGGTTAATATATTAATATAAATTGCAATAGACATCTACTATTGGTTGGGTTATTTATTGCAAGCTGCCGTCATGCTGGTGTGGCGTGTTGCTGATGCTCCTACCAGCGAATTGAGCGGCAGCTCCGTCAATTGTTCTTTCTCGCATGCCACAGTGTGTCCAATGCCCCTTCGCCTCCGCCAACCCACACTCACATCCACGTGGCAAACTTTGGACGAATGACAGCTCGCAACTCACGTGGTTCATGCTTATCCATGCAGCGGTGGTACTTGCAACTACAACTGTAATCTTTTCACGCTAAAATTATATACTCGTCCCCTTTCAGGGAACGTCAGCAGCTTTTGACAAATCCATAGACGACGCTTTTAACGCTGCAATCAAGTCCCTCGAGGAAGAAAGGGCCACGCTCAAGCAGTTGGCACATGCAGAACAGAGTCAACTATTGGGCCTAATCCGTGCCCAGATGGCGCCCCGAGAGATGATGGTCGCTGAGATGGTGGTTGTCACCAAAGAGGTGCAGGCGGCTTTGCAGGAAACGAATCACGTGCGGGCTATCCAGGTACGTGGAGAACAGAGGACACCAGTAGTGTGGAAATGGTCAATAGCACCTTCTGCTACTGCTGCTGCATTGTCTTCCGGTTGCTGAACGGAATACAGTGTTATAAGGTCGCGCTCATGACACACACAAAGTGCCTGCCACGAATGAACCACACAATACTTTCGGTGATCTCGTCAAGGAGCTGTATACCACTATCATGCGAACTCCTGTCATCCTTGCAGCAGCAGTGGCAGCGGCGGCTATTGGCTCAGCCGTTGAACAAAAACGGTCACCACTTCATTGCGTGGCATTTTCAAACACGCTGCTTCTGCGGCCATCTGGAATACTTTTCCTTCTGATATTAGGAAGCCACTGAGAGCTACGATGCACCTTTACATCATCTCGATTGACAAACTCATTTCTTTAGTCTAACACGTATGCTTTCTTTTTGTTTAAGGAGAAACCCTATTTTCGACTTAAAACCATTAGATTTGTATTTCAGTTTTTTTAAGTAAAGTCTTAGACTCGCAAACCAACTGACCTGGAAGAACTTAAACATTATTTTGTGAATGCTGAGTCATCATGCATGCCTACAGCTGTGTTATAAAATGTTTTTTTTTCTGAACGATGGGCGACATATACAAGTTTATTAATAATTCGAGCATATCTAATCAATACCATAACAAATTAAATAAACTAAAAGGTGAACGTCTATTACTTGCAGCATTCATATTAAATTCATATCAGCATCGCGAATGACAATACAGATATTAAAGTTTTTTTTGGTGTAGCATTCATTTTGGGACACCCCGTATATCAACATGAGATGAGGTTACCCTGAGATGGTGACCAGCTTACCAATGGATGTCTCACGCGTGCGCCCCCTGTCCCTCTGTCGCAGGTGAGCGGTGAGTTGGAGAGAAGGTAGGTCGCGCACCTTCACGTCACTCCACGGCCACTCAACTTCCCAATCCCAGTTTAATTGAACATTCAATATCCATATTTTACTGGTACTACGATGGTGAATAAATAATATGCTCGCTTTACCCTTCCCCGCAATGATAACACCGGAGTTGTGTTAAGATGTCGAGACACCTACGATCGTAAGTCCATCAAGTTTGTGTTCACCCGCACATCATGATTGTAGTGAAAAATGCAAACAGACTTCGATAAGAATAATCTACGCATTGTCATTGGAACTGATTGGCCTACACCAGAGCTACAGTCTCCTTTATGGCCTTGTCATGAAGGAGACTGTATTATTGCCATATTTTATCATCATCGTGATAGTACCGACCCTGATGCCTGCCGCTGTATATTAGGAGTCTGCATTTCTCTCTCTGTCCTGGTGGTTGCGTCGATTTTTTTCTCCGGCTCCTCCGGGGTTTTCCTCCACATTTAGAAACATGCATCTAGACTATTTAGATTATTTTGCTGCTATAACCGTCAAATTTGTAAGCCACTTTGTTGAGTTATCATGTGTGTCCAAGTAGCTTTAAAAAAAATAAGTTATTACCTCAGTGGGATTTGTCTGGTAAAAGCGAGTTGGTTTTGTGTTATTTGTATGTTTGGGTAATTTTTTTACCTTTCTTGTACTTTTCACTATGATCATGTTTTTTGTATTGTTTGTTATAACGTTTGTATCCATGCCTACTGCAAATCTGTGAAAAAGAGATTTATACCTCATCGGATTCCTCCAGGAGGCTGTTGCTCTGGTGCAGGCCAATCAATTTTGAAGACAATGCATACATTGTTATTATTATCAGTGAACGTTTGTTTTCATGTTTTGCAACGCGCGTGATGTGTGGTTCACGCAGACGTGATGATGCCTTGCAATAATGGATGTGTTTATTTAGTGTTTGAACATCTTAACACAACACCTGTATCATTATTCTTATTCTTACCGGGAAGGGTATTGCAATCCTATTCTTTGTAATCATCTTGATACTGGCCAACAAAGGTTTTCCTATAGATCCACGATATTCTCATTCCTTATTTATATTTTCCACGTTCAGGATAACGGCCGCGATGATGAAGAACCCACCAAATGACAACATCGTGACTAGAGACCTCTTCTCGTCCTTGCGTGGCCTGCTGGAGAGTCTCTCCCCAAGAATCTCCAATTGGAAGACAGAAAACGCGATGCTCAGAAGTAAGTATGTGTGTGTGTATGCGTGCGGTGGCGCAGTGGTTAACGAATGGCTGCGTTGCGAACCAGGCGACCCAAGTTCAATTCCCGCTCATGGCCACCAACACCAGTGATGTTTATATGAACCGGTCCTGGGCCCCCAGCCCCCACCCCAGCTCAACTCAGCCTCAAATGAGTACCTGGTATGGTGTGTAGTAAACATCACCGCTGGGGAGACAAATGTGCCCGGGTCTGGTGATAGCCAACCACCCCCTCAGTGCTGCTCGATAACAACACTGGCCCCTGCAGACTGCTACAGGCTATACAGGGGATAGTTTTATTTGACGTCAAAGTTGTGGAATAGAGAACACACTTAATAATAATATAATTAATAATAATTTACAATTGTAAAGTTCTGCATTTAATCCGTAGATCCCACCAATGTGCCGCTGTGTATGGAAAGTCAGGAAATAAACAGAACCTGCAGAGGGCAAAAGGCCATAACTAGGCAGATGGTAAAGGCCAATTTACCCATTCACTCACCCACCTCACTCACTCATCCACTCATTGACTCACTCACTCACCCACCCACCCACTCACTCACCCACCCATTCGTTCACTAACCCACCCACTCACTCACCCACTCATTTACTCACCCAATAAATAACTCACCCACTCACCGAATCACTCACCCACCGTTCCTGTTATATATTTTGATAACGATGAAAACGCTAATAAGTGGTACATCTGATGATCGAATCTAATTGCACACGTATAATTATATAGCACCTTCACGCCAGGCGCTTGATGAACATGGCTTACAACACGGTGACACAGAATGGAATGGTGTAGTAGCGGGCTACCAGGTATTGAGGAAAGAGTGACAGCAACTACAGAGGGTCTATTTAGGGGATCACGAAAGGGGCTACAGGGGAGGCACAGGAAGGAGTGGAGGGGTGAGGAGGAGGGAAGAGGACGAGAATAGGCAATGGAGATGAGCTGTTGAGGCTGTAACCACCCTCCTGCTATTCGAAGGCTCACTGACATGCGGGGGAAGTGGGATACCCATATCGCGTGCTGACTGAACACGGCAGGTGCAATCAGCTATTCCGCAAATGGAAATATAAATGAAGAGAATTACCAGATGCGTAAAACACGAATCTCACATTAATGAATGTGACTACGTCTGTGTGACCACGCCATCCAAAAACAAAGGAAAGCCGCTGCCGCCTACGAATTCAGAGTTTGGGAACGAATGACTGCGACGAAGTGAAGAGGCGCAAGAGAACGGGCGGCAGCGGTCCAGACGAGCTACAGGAGAGAGAGATGTGTTCCGTCAGCACGCACACAATCTGCTGTGGCACACACCGAATCACAAGTGGGGGGTGGGGGGGGGACGCTGGTATACAACCCGAATGGACACTCAAAAGGGGCGCAAATGAGCGTGGAGAGGTCGCATGCATAGAATTGCACTGAAAGACAGAAAGAGTGCCGTACGCATTACAGAGAAAAAATGCAAAGGTTAGTGGCATCATCTTGACTTGGCAGGGGAACTTTAAGTGGGTTTGGGCTTTGGGCAGTTTCATCTACTAGCGGGACCGATGGGTGAAGTTGCAGACTAAGAGACAGAATGGCAGCTCAAGGTGGAAATGCACCTAAAAGGACACTCTCCCATGGAGATGGAGTGATAAGTTATCAGTTTGTGTGATGATAAAAATTATAAGCATTATTACCCTTTCTGTAAAACAGAATAATAATAATACAGGAGGTGTTAAGATGTTCAAACACCAAATAGACACACCTTTTGCAAGGAATCATCGAGTCTGCATGGCTCACACATCCTGTTTGTGGTAAAACATGCAACAAACACGTTTTGATGATGTACACGCTGTCCTTGTGTATATAGTTACGAGACAACCCAACGGGTATGTTTTTTGGCGATCGCACTTTGACCATAGTCATAAACCCCTGAGTACCCAGTGTAACCACCGGCAGCTGAAACCTCTACTTAAACCCAAGATCTGAACGGTGGCAGCTCAGTTGTTTGGGAGCCTCCAGCACCGTTGTTTGTCATTGTATCAAAACAGCATGAGTAGTCCACCAGCTAAGGGAGCCGATGACTAACCAATGTCCTTTCCGTGTGCGTTCTTCGTCCGAGAAGATTTCAGGAGCCCAACCCTTGATGAAGATTCACTCCACTACCAACTGGACGCAGACGATGGTGGCAAGGCCCTGAGCCTGTCTCGGCCCCTCAGGAGGCGGCGGGACGTGACGGAGGGCTGTGAGGCGTTCTCCTACTGGAGGCAGGCGCTGTGTGAGGAGGGCTACTTCTCTGGGTTACACTACTGGGAGGTGGACGTGAGCGAGTGCGACGGGTGGTGCGTGGGCATCTGCTGCGGGTCGATGGAGCGGAGGGGCAAAACCAGCGATGCGGAGCTGGGCGGAAATGCCGAGTCGTGGTGCATCGAATACAGAGACGATGATGATGACGAGGACGATGGCAACCTGAGTGCCTTTCATGACGCACTGCAAACCAACATTGAAATCAGCTGCGATGGTGGCCGTAGCGGCTGCCACATCGACAGGGTGGGCATTCTACTGGACTGTGACATGAACCGACTGTCATTCTACGATGTTTCACAGGCACGGGTCCACTTGCACACCTACTCTTACGTACAGTTCGGTGCTCCACTCTTCCCTGCGTTCAAAGTGCTAGACGGCAGCATCACAATAGCCTCGTGTCCACGCTCCTGTGCCGGCCTCTGCTAGGCTTCTCAGGAGAGGTGACGTGGACCCAGCATGAGAGCGCTGTGAGCCTTGCTGTGTAGGTTAATCGTTCAGGCACTGTTGCTCCCCTGGTTGATTACTGTCATAGATGTGCACTATTCACTTCACCGTGGACGTAGATTTATATAGACTCACATAACTATCCACAGACTCAGTTAAACATAAATAGACTCAAATATCGACCTATCGACACCCACAGATTCACATAGATACCCATAGACTCGCATATATACTCATAGACTTGTATACGTACCAACAGATTCACGTACAAATATACAGACTAATATAGATTACCAGAGATTTACATACACCCATATACTCACATAGATACCCACAGAGTCACATATAAATTAATAGACTCAAATATAGACCCATATGCTCACATAAATAACCACAGATTCATGTAGAAATCAATAGACTCACATAGATACCGATATATTCATATAGATACCCATAGACTCGCATATATACCCATATACTCACATAGAAAACAATAGACTCAAATATAAACTCATGGCGTCATACAGAGCCTCATATCTACGTGGGAAGTTGTGCTCATATGGTTGGAATCTCGGTTCCCAGGCACAATTATATTATGTGTGTTTGTGGACCTAATGGAATGTTTGGTTGTGGAGGAGAGGCTCCCTTTCCTCTGTCATGAAATGGACCAGTACTGCCTGGACCTCTGAAATACAGGGTCTGGCTTCAAGCATCATGAGGGGTGGACAGTTCTCCACTCGGGGTAGGAAACTGCCAAACAACAGGGAGTGCCACTTCTTTTGACTAAGAAGCTGTAAGTTACAGGCTACAGTGGACTCACCTCCCCATCAACTAGAGGTGAGCAATGGGAATGGTTGCTTACGCTCCCACCAAAGATGAGCATCAGTAGAGAGATGCAGACAAAGCCGATGAGTCAGATGCCTTGTTTAACCTCCTGTCCAAGGTGCTTGCTAAAGTGCCCCCTCAGGATAGAGTCTTCCTGTTTGGTGACTTTAATGCCTGAGTGGGTCATGATTGGAGTGATCGGAAGGCATGGGTCAGATCAGCTCAATATTAACACGAAGAGGCTGCTAGACATCTGCGCAGCCGATGGGCTTGTAATTACCAACACCCTGTTCTGGAATCGGCGCATCTACATAACATAATGGATGCACGCCGGGTCCAAGCAAGAACATCTGCTGGACTATATAGGGCCTACCGTGGAGCTGATCTGCCCACTGACCATCGGTTTGTAATTTGTAGGATGTGCCTGCCATTCTTCTACTCCGGTGGTGGAACCCATTCACACACACAGTGGCCTGGTATCAGCTAGGTGAGGATAGTTGCAAGCAGCAATTTCAACATCGCTTGCAGCTGGGGTTGGCAGCATCCCCCATCCTGATGCGGAGGGGAAATGGGTGAGGTTCATGACTGTGGCTCATGCAGCTGCAATGGCTGCATTGAGTATGTAGTCAACACCTCCCCAGAGACCCCAGCTGAAGAAGGAGGTGTTCCAGCTGGTTGAGAGAAAACGATAGGCTGACTCCCGTCGTCTACAACATCCAATATCAGAGAATGAGGAGGCTTACCGTAGCCTTAGCTCGGAGATTCGAAGAGCCATGCAGTGCTGTAAGGATGAGTGGTGGCTGCGGTATGCTGACAGGATGGAATATGCCTCAGTCCGAATCACGAATAACTAAATCCATCATTAAAGTAATTTGCAGCACCTCACCTATTACTATCCTTAAGGGAAAGAACGGCGATCCAATCTCCGACCCCTTTGAACAGGTCTGTAGGTTTGGAGAGCATTTCTGTGTGGTCTTGGGGGAGAGTAATTTCCTCAGCCCAGACAACATCATGGGACAAGGTGGGGACGAACCTGACAGGGCTGCGGTGCCTAAAATATTGGCCGAAGTATCCACCCCTTCTGAGTGGTTAGCTGAAGTGTCAGCTGTGGTGGAAGTACGAGGAGTGATCAAAAGCGCCGGGCAGATACAATCTCCCAAGTGAAATGCTGGGGGAGGATGGCATCTGTGTGCAAACTACCCTACATGACATCATCACAAATGTCTGGACCACAGGAAGGGTTCCGCAGGATTGGAAGGATGCTATAGTTGCCCCCCTCTGGCAAAAATTAGTATTCAACATTGCCTTCCCAGGCACGCTGAGGAGATGCTTGCAGAGCCCCAATGGGGTTTCAGGAAAGGGCTGTCCTGCACAGATGCCATATGTTCTGTCTGTCTGCTACAGCAGAGGTGTAGGGAATTCCCACAAGACCTACATCTCTGCTTTATTGACCTGATCAAGGCCTATGGCACCATTAAGAGGCCTGGGCTCTGTGCTGTTCTTCGTGCTTTCGGAGTCCCTGACTCTCTGCTCACAATCATTAAGAGCCTTCATGATGGTGGGCAGGCCCAGGTAAAGCTACATGGCTGGGAGTCAGAGCTGTTCCCAGTACACCTTTGGGTGCGACAGGGATGTCCTCTGGCTCCCACATTTAACATCATCTTTGATCACGTAGTTTGAGAAGCTTTATATGGCTGTACCAAATAAATTTCAATCTGGTACAGATACAATGGGAGGCTGATCGATGCTCAGGTGCGGTCGAGGGATGCCTCCCTATTGGTCAATCATGTTAAATATGCTGATGATCTGATGATTGCTGTTCACTCAGAGAAGGAGTTGGAGGCCCTGCTGCTTGACCTGGAGTGCGCTATTAAGTGTGCTACTAAGAGGTGGAGCCTTACTATCAGCCCCAGAAAAACTAGGCACCTATACTCTTTGGTTCTGGGTATTTTGTGCCATCAAACATTTCACTTCCTCAGCTCCCCATTCTTGACGGGGCGGTTGTGGAGAGAGTGGAGAGTTTTCCCTAATTGGGCAGTGTGCTTATTACCAGCTCCGGTTTGACAGCTGAGGTCTCCGAATTTGCCGGGCGGCACTATCTTTTCATCAGCTGAATAATGCTATGGGGAAGCTACCTGTTCTGTTGCTCCACACAAAGCTTCGGGTCTTCTCGGCCACAGTCATGCTCTTCTCTACGCTTGTGAAAGTGGACCCCTTTATTGGAACATATGCGTTGGTTAGAAACATGCAGCTGGCCTGCCAACGATCCATCCTGGGTTTAACCAGGCTGGATTGTGTGAGGGGCTCGCAAATCCTCGAAAGATCTGGATACATTCTCATCAGTGAGCTCCTCTGGCAGGTAAGGCTGTGTTGACTGACTCACGTAGTCCAAATGCCCAGCCATCGCATGGCCAAGCAACTTCTGTTTGACCAGATAGAGGAGGCTAAACGAGCATTTCCCGGCCTGTAGAAGAGATGGACTAATGCGGTTCGGGATGATGTTGCACTGATTGGACTTGCCAAAGACTCGTGCCAGCGGTGTTAAGATCAGCCTCGATATAAGAGGCTAGTGAAGGACAGTTGGAGGCAGTTGCCCTCAAACAACAATGGAGGACAGAGGAGCGATGCTCGCAACAACAAGCGGAGCGCCGGGTGGCTTAAATGCAGCAAGTTGGCACAGTATACATCTTCCAATTATCTCAGTCATTCAACCCATGGCACCTGCGTCTGTCAGCGAGCCTTCAACACTTCACGTGGCCTTACAGTGCACCTGGCTTGGTACAGGCGCCATGGTGACATCACCATCAGTTTGTGGTGAATGGCGGGTATTGGTAATGGTATAACAAATTGTGGGGAGCGGTATTGTAGTGGTTAGCGCCATAAATTACTAACCCGGCGACCAAGGTTCGATTCCCGCTCAAGGCCACCATCAGTGATGATTATTTGAACTGGTCCTCGGCCTCCCCTAGGTTGACACAGTCTCAAATGAGTACCTGGTGTAGTGTATAAATACTTCCACCAGGGAGACAAAGGCGGCTGATGTGGTGCTGGTCACCCACCCCTTCATGTGCCGTGCTGGTCCTCATATGTGCTACTCACCAACACCACTTATCTCAACAGTCTGTTGAAGGCTGCACGGGGTCTATTTGTCTTTGTAATGGACTAAATACCTGTGATACAACCGCTGCATTCAAGCTCTGCAAAGAGTTTTTGTTTTGTTTTTCGCGCATTTTTTTAAAGCACGATGTTCAATATTTGTTTTAATTCCTAGATTATACTCTCACGACCAGTGCTGTATTGTGATTCCAGCTTAACCAGTTTATTGTGGGTGATATCTTCTTGTGTAGATATAATGTACAAAAATAAGTTAAACTATAACCTTCCATCGCTACCCAGCAGTAGAGGTGTTCAATTCAAGTAAGTTGTTGGCCAACCTTAAACTAAACAAATTATTTTCCCAGCTAATACTCTGAACGTGTTATGTTGATTCTAAATGTGGAGGGAAAAACCGGAGAAAAATTCTCCCGACCACTACAGGGACAGAGAAATATACAACAGGCATCAGGGACGGGATTGAACCCACGACCTCCTGCATACTAGGCGAGGGAGATAACATCTACCTTGCCACTGCGGCGCCGCAACTGGAATGTTGGAAAAGCGTGTAAGGTTTTGAATTCTTTTTTATTCCCCACGTTTCGTTGGAGATTGCACACGGCATAATGAGGCATTCACAGCAGCTCTTTTTCGCGTGAAACAGCTTCCCGATCCACGTCAGTCAGTATGTGCTATGACGTCACAATGACAGCCATGTGGTACATTCTGATTTATTTTTTTATCGATGCGTCACAAGTCAGGGCCTTGAATAATCTTGATGTAACTATTTTATTCTTATCCGTTTTATCTCAGATGCCAGGCTACCTCATTCCACGAAGCACCGTTATGAGCTCACTAAAATAAAATCTCCTTCAGCAGATCGGAGGAAAAGTAACTGTACCCTGTCTACACAATATTGAATATGATCAATATTTTGTTGTCATCTGAAGGGAAAATGTACCTTCCATGTGTCTTTCCCAGATCGATGGCGTTCAAGGTCACTGCTTTTAAATTGCAAACATTTCCTTCACGGTATTCAGTTGGTGCCTCGCGGTGCTGTTAAAATTAAATAATAATAGCCTGCTTGGGCACTGCAACAACAACAGTGGCCCGGATAGATTTTGAGGACCATTAATGAGATTTAACAAAAAAATATTTTATTTTTGATGTTCAATAGTATATGCTGTGTATTGTCTCTGAACTGTGATTCTTAAATATGTTATTCTTAGTTTTGATGTTAGGTTAGTAACACGGAGTTAGACTGTTCTGCTCTCCAGTTTCCTCGGTGAAAAGTGTTGCCCAATCCTGGCCATCTTGCTCAAAAACGTACTGAAATAACCAACAATAATCAGAGTTGATTGCGGGCTGATTGGTTGTGCTTGGCAGGTTAGGTTAGTGGTTTGTGATTATTTTGAAGTATATTGTTTGTTATAAAGCTGACGTTTTAATGCCAGTATGACTCTATTTTAGTGTTAATTGGCTATTAATAGGGTTAATTCAATAATTGTTTTGGGGATTATCATTGAGGGATGGGTGATACAGTTTGATTGAAGAGGTTGTTGGTGTTTCCTTGCTATAATACACGATCAATTAATTTAATAAAAAAGTGGCTGGAGTTATTTGTTCCCATTGTGAATCTAGTGCTGAGTACTCTCGCGGTTTCATGGCAAGTTTATCAAGGTACAGAGGTCGGCCGATCGCACCCCCTGTGGCGGCTTGACCATTGACGGTTAACCGCGAGATTCCTGTACGCGCTGTAAAATCACTGGCCACTGTTATGCTGCTGCTGCAGAAGAACACGCGGTGCAATCTCGTCTTCATTTCGTCTTCATTTAATCTTCATTTCGTCACCGTCTAGCCTTCGACTCCGTCTTGTCTCGTCTCTACCTTTGTCTGCGCCTTCCTCTCCGTCTTGTCTCCGTCTTGTCTCCCAAGCAGTCCATTGCGGGTCCCAGGTCACGCAGTGTTCCCAGCCTCGATTGAGGAGGCAGTGAGGTTCAGCCGCCCGCGATTTGTCGTCCTGTAGTGTACAGAATTGTACACGGATACAGTATTGTACACTATATTATAATTTTTTTGTTTATACAGGGCTACTATCAAAGGTTTGGTCATGAAGCCATCCAGATATATAAACATAGACATAACTTCAACCGAGAAGATGGACACAAATTGAGCACTCATTGAAAGGATGTTATTTACCAGGTAAAACCTTAACTGCTTTACGGTTTGCCTTCATATCTGCATCTCCAGTTTCTTCAGCCTCCCTCCGGCATTTTGCCATGTATGTGTCTTAGCTTCAGCACTCCACTCCCCCTACCCCACACCCTCTCTTTCGCTCCTCACTGGCTCCTCCCCCCTTCTATTACCTATATAGTCTCTTGTCACGGCAGCCCTTTTGCCCACTTAAGCAATTGTTTTCTTGCTGTGGTTGTCCCACCTGATGACGGACGCTTGTGTTGCGCCCGAAACGTCGTTATTATATTTATTTTATTATTTATACCTACGTAACTTTACCGAAAGAACCAAGGAGTATGGATCCCTGCAGTCACGAAAACTTCAAATCTAGAATAAACCATGTTGCCTTTACGACAACGTCTCCATAAGAACTCACTACAGCTGCACAGGGCGGATGCCGAGACAGCCGAAAGTGGAACAAAACCTCGCTTCCTGAGTAGGGGGGTCACGACGCCACGGAACTCCCCATCACCACCACCACCACCACCCACAACGCCACCACCACCCACAACGCCACCACCATCATCATCACCACCATCATCATCATCACCACCACCACCATCATCATCATCACCACCACCATCATCATCACCACCATCACCACCATCATCACCACCACCATCATCCATCATCACCACCACCATCATCACCACCACCATCATCACCACAATCATCATCACCACCACCATCATCATCACCACCACAACCACCACCATCATCATCACCAATATCATCATCCATCATCACCACCACCATCATCCATCATCACCACCACCATCATCACCACAATCATCATCATCACCACCACCATCATCATCATCACCACCACAACCACCACCACCATCATCATCACCACCATCATCATCCATCACCACCACCATCATCCATCATCACCACCACCATCATCATCCATCATCACCACCACCATCATCACCACAATCATCCATTATCACCACCACCATCATCCATCATCACCACCACAATCATCACCACCATCACCACCACCATCATCATCCATCACCACCACCATCATCATCCATCACCACCACCATCATCATCACCACCCCAATCACCACCATCATCACCACCACCATCATCACCACCACCCACAACGCCACCACCACCACCCCCATCATCATCACGTTGGCCAGGAGATGTTAACTACCTCGCCTGGTCTACAGGAGGTCGGGGGTTCGATCCTGACCCTGACGACGCCTGCTGCTGCTGTAAATTTGGAGTCTGCATCTATCTCTCTCATCATCACGGTGGCGAGGAGATGTTAACTCCCTCGCCTGGTATACAGGAGGTCGTGGGTTCGATCCCGGACCCTGGCGATGCCTGCTGCTGCTATATTTGGAGTCTTCGTCTCTCTCATCATCATCATCATCACGGTGGCTAGGAGATGTTAACTACCTCGCCTGGTCTACAGGAGTTCGTGGGTTCGATCTCGGACCCTGACGATCTCTCTCTCTCACCGTGGTGGTCACTGCGTGGATTTTGTCTCCGGTCCTCTGGGTTTTCCCCGCCACATTTCAAAACGAACATCACCACTGCCGCCACGTGTTTTAGATTCCTTTGTCCGCTGCTATGAATGCGCTAGGGGTCGGCACGGTTTGAACCGACTCAAACTGGTTTCAAATTGAGCAAACCAAACCAAACTAGCGACGACTGAACCAAACCAAACCAAAACCAAACCAAACTAAGCTAAACCAAACCTCTTGAGTTGGCTTGAACCGAAAAGATGCGCGGCAAACAATATTCGCATTCAATACAAATATCAAGTGCATTAATCGCTAATTTCTACGCAGGCTTTCTTCATATTGAGATTCACTAGCAAGTACTGGACGACGATGTCGTCCACAGCCATCTCCTCAAGCTTGGCACGCCCAATGTCCTTGAACGCAGTGTGGTAGTTCAATGGCAGTGAAACCCCAACACTAGGCAACATCCGCGCCCACGAGCGCACACACATCTCGGCCTTGAACGTGCACTTGTGCAGGTTTGGTCGGTCGAGAAAGGAGCGCTTGGCGGCCGAGTTTGCTCTCTCGGAGGGCACGGACGACGCCGGGATAGGCAAATAGTCGAGGGCCACGCGTCGTAGGCGCGGGTACTTGCCGCCGTACAGCTTCCACCACTCGACGACGTCCATGCTCAGGTCCTGAGTCGGCTCAAGCAGGAAGCAGTCGACCTCGGAGGCGGCGCCGTCGTGAGCGTTGGGCGCGTAGACCATGTCAAAGAGGATGTTAATGCCGCCACGCGGCGCCGCCTTCGGCGCCGCGTCCGTCGTCAACGCTGGGTAGCGCTGGTTGAGAATGTCCGTCATCATGTCCTTGATATTGCTGTACTCGGCCTTTACAACCAACCAAACTAGTTTGAGCCGGTTCCACCCTGTCCGAGCCAAACCGAGTTGGTTTTCGTAGCCCCAAACCAAACCGAACCAGTTCAAACAGAGCCAAACCAAACCGATTTGGTTCGGTTCAAACCGCGGTTTGGTGGTTTGAGCCAAACCGTGCCGACCCCTAGAATGCGCTGAGGGGATCAGCCCACTTTTGTGATAGCCAGGGGGCCGTGTGGGGGCCGACGTCCACCCCCCTCCTCCTCATTGGCCGCCTCTCGCCGGCTTCCCCGCCAATCGAGTGATCGGCCCCACCCCATCCCACGCGCCAGCGCCCTCTCTGAGAGACATCGCTAAATCGGGCTGGCTCACCACCGCCCGGGGTTACCCCCGCGCACGCCCGCATACATCGCCACCAATGTGGGGGCGGCTGCGTGCACGCGCGCGCCCCTGCAAGGCGCTTGTTTCGCACAAAGGCCGGGCGCTTGAAAACGGCGGCGTGAATATGCGCGCGCGCCTCTGGGTGATTAAACTCTAATCTGCTCACACACAATGCTATTGTCGTTTGCTCGAACATGCGCGACTCACCCATGCACACTCAAATTACCAACACCGCATCGACGCCGCAGCCCCGCACTCACTCTCGCGCACACACCGTCCCCCCTAACCCCCCGCGCGCAGTCGCACCGCACGCAAATTGCAGATGCCATGCCGACGTTCTACCCACGTAACACAGAAATCACACTGCGCCGATAACTCTGTATTCTTTGGGTCTTTCAGTAAAGTCACGTAGGTAGACAAAATAATAGATCACGACATTTTGATCACAATACAAGCAATCGTCATCAGGTGAGACAAATACAGCAGGAGTTCTTCTGTTGTATTTGTCTCGCCTGATGAATATGGATTCCTGTAGCCACAAAAGCTTAAAATCAAGATTGATGACGCTGTGGGCTCGCATGATATTGTTTTTTCCGAGACCAAGGTACTCTGCAAACCTTCGGGCTAGGCTACTATCAATGGTCTGTTCATGAAGCCATCCAGATATACTGTATAAACATAGATATGACTTCAACCGAGAAGATGGATTCAAATTGAGCAATCATTGGAAGGACGTTATTAACCAGGTAAAGTCTTAGCTGACTGTGATGTTTCCATCATACCTGCCTATGTCAGCTGTTATTTCCGACTATCTGTGTCTCTCTCTTTGGATTGCACTCTCATGTTCACATCCTTGGATTGCACTCTCATGGTGCTAATCTCTCATTAACACTGCTGTTGTGCGCATATGCGGGTATGATACTCTTATACGGCGACGGCGACGGAAGCTCATTAATGGTAATCTCCCTCCCTAATCCCTCTCTCCCTAATCCCTCTCTCCCTAATCCCCCATTAACACAACTGAGGTGCTTGCTTCCGGGGGTGGACTTCCTTTATAGCTCAGACCCCGCTTGCTTGCCCATTGCCACATATATAGCCTTGTTGTAGCTGCTCTCTCGTTAGTTCAGCAGTTCCAATGCTGGATTATTTATCTTTTTTTCGCCTGAGGACGACCGCTTATGTTGCTATCGAAATGTCGTGATTTATTTTATTTTATACCTACGTGATTTTTCCGAAAGAACCAAAGAATATAAATACGTCGTTAAACCCGCCACCACTCAACACAACCAGCTTCATCGCCTGACGAGGCTGGTTGTAATTACCTGTGAAACATCACCGTACTCGAATGGTAAAGGTTATGGGTTTACGCTCCAACATACAACCGGTTAGTGCTGAACCAGTAACGAATTGGCACCACGTTTTGCTTACGTGACACAAACCCTTACTTATTGGCTAGTTTAACGACGTATTTATACTTACGCGATCTAACCCAAAACATGTCTTATGGATAATATTGGTCGCGAAATCCCAACTAGCACTACTACTGCGTGTTTCATCGAATAACAATTAAACTATTCAACGTTCCGTTTCTCGGTATGTTGTATTCATTTTCGGACACACCCAGTACATTGCAGTCAATTTAGAGCACCTTCTATGAAGCGTGCCGAGCATGGGGGTCAATGCATGTGAGATCATATTTATGTGCTGAGTTCAGACGTCCGTGGATTTTACATTCCCGAACTGGTCCGACGAGGTTCGTAAGGTAAATATTTCACAGTTGCCTGGGTTAGAATGAGTTAGGTTTTTTTACAATCCTGCCCAGTTGGCTCAACAGATCTAATAAATGAAGTCACATAGAGATACTCATCGAGACACTGAGATATGCATAG